TCCAGTTCAATCACTAAGGCTTGAGAACCAGGACAGCCATTGGTGTAAATTTCAGTCCAAGCCTGAAGGTCTAAGAACCAGGAGTGCCAATGTCAAGGGCAGGAGAAGATAGATGTCCTATTTAAACCAGAGAGGCATTTGCCAAATCAATAGCTGCATACCAAGTATCAGACAATGTGTTAATTTCCTCAAGCAATGAAACGACATCTGGTACAGTAGCTACAATCGGAGTTACCACCTGGTGAAGCTTATAATTATCCACTGTCATTCTTCAAGTTTTGTCTTCTGCACAGGCCAAATAGGACAACTGAATAAGGGTGTGAGGAGAATCACCACCCTGCATCTTTCACCACCACTTTCATCTTTCCTTGATGGTGGCACTAATCTCTGCAATCCCTCCAGGGATATGGTATTACTTCTGATTTACTATTTTCCTAGGTAGAGGTAGTTCTGATGGCTTTCACTCAGCCTTTTCCATTGTAACAACCCTCACTATGTAAGTCAGGGAACCAATGTTAGGGTTCTGCCACCTGCTAAGGATGTCTTTTCCAATTATGCATTCTAGAACTGGGGAAATAACCACAGGACACGTTCAGTAACTCATTGTGAGATAGACCTGAGCTAGAACTCCCTTGGCCACCTGACTTCCATAAGGCCCACCAGAAGCAGTTTGCTTTCAGCTGGCAAAGCTGGTAATAGACCTTTACTGCCCTACCTAAGGAATACATCGACTCTCCAGCCCTATGTTATAATTTAGTTTGCAGGGATCCTGATCACCTTTCCCATCCACAAGTTATCAATTACTCCATCACATTGATGATATTATGCTAATTGGACCTAGTGAGTGAGAAGTAGTAACCTCTCTAGACTTATTGGTAAGATATTTGCATGCCAGAAGCTGGGAGGTAAATCCAATTCAAATTCAGTGGCCTTCTGACTCAGTAAAATATGTAGGGGTCCAGTGGTTTGGGGCATATCGAGATGTTTCTTCTAAGGTAAATGGTAAGTTGTTGCATCTGACCCCTCTTGCAACCAAGAAAGAGAAACAATGCCCAGTATGCCTCTTTGGAGTTTGGAGACAATATATTCCACAAAAGAAGGCTTTGGAACAGGTTCAGGCTGCTGTGTAAACAGTTCTGCCACTTGGGCGATATAATCCAGTAGAAGCAATGGTGATTGAAGTTATAAATAGTATAAATGTGATGGGGCCGAAGTGGGCTCTGAGGGCACAAGTAAGTTACATAAAGAAGGGTACCACATGCCCGTGGTCCCCATTCCTACTACAATGTCTTCTCTCTTCTCTGCGCCTATGGCCTCATGGGGTTTTCCCTATGATTAGTTAACAGAGAAAGAGAAGACTTGGGCCTAGTTTACAGATGGTTCTTCATGATATGTAAGCACTATCTGACTGTGGATATCTGCAATACTACAGCTCTTCTCTGGAACATCCCTGAGGAACAGTACTGAAGGAAAACCACCCCTTTGGGCAGCTATTTGGGCAGTGAACCTGGTTGTGCACTTCACTTGGAAGGGGGAAGACTAAACATGCAAATATTCTGCTTCATGGTCTGTGGCCAATGGTTTGTATGGATGGTCAGGGACTTGGAAGGAACATGATTGAAAAATTAGTGACAAAGAAATTTGGGGAATAGTTACCTCTCAGAATGGGCAAAAATGTGAAAATATTTGCGTCTCATGCAAACGCCCACCAAAGCATGACTTCAGTAGAAGAGGATTTTAATAATCAAGTGGATAAGATATCCATACTTTGGACACCAGTCAGCTTCTTCCCTAGCCACTCCTGTCATTAACCAATGGGCTAATTTAAAAAGTGGTCATGGTGGCAGGGATGGAGTTTATGCATGTGCTAAGTAACATCAACTTCCACTACCAAGGCCAACCTGGCTACAGCTATCATTAAGTACTCAATCTTCCAGCAACAGAGACAAACACTGAACCCTAAATATGGGACCATTCCCTGGAGTAATCAGCCTGCTACTTGTTCATGGTTTGATTATATTGGACTGCTTCAATCACGAAAGGGGCAGTATCGTGTCTTTACTGAAATATACACTTACTCTGGATATGGATTTGCCTTTCCTGAATGCAATACTTCTGCCAAAACTACCATCCATGGACTTACAAAATGACTTATCCACCATTGTGGTATTCCATACAGCTTTGATTTTGATCAAGGCACTTATTTCACAGCAAAAGAAGGGCAGTAATGGGTTTATGCTCATGAAATTCGCTGGTCTTATCATGTTCCCTACTGTCCTGAAGCAGCTGGCTTGACTGAACAGTAGAATGGTCTTTTTAAGACTCAGTTACAGAGCCAGCTAGCTGACAATACCTTGCAGGGCTGAGGCAAGGTTCTCCAGAAGGCTGCATGTGCTCTGAGTCAGTGGCCAATAAATGGTGCTCTTTCTCCAATAGTCAGAATTCACAAGTCCAGAAGTCAAGGGGTGGAAATGGGAGTGGCACCATTGACTATTAGCTCTAGTGACCCATTAGCAAAATTTTTGCTTCCTGTTCCCATGACTTTACGTTCTACTGGTCTAGTGGTCTTAGTTCCAGAGCAAGGAATGTTTCCACCAGAAGACACGACAATGATTCCATTGAACTAGAAGTTAATAATGCCACCTGGCCACTTACGGCTCCTCATGCCTCTGAATCAACAGGCAAAGAATTGAGTTACTGTGTTCTCTGGGGATACCGATCTTGACTACCAAAGGAAAATCGGACTACTATTCCACAATGGAAGTAGGGAAGAGTGTGTCTGGAATACAGGAGATCTCTTAGGGGCCTCTCTTAGTGTTACAATGCACTGTGATTAAGGTCTATGGAAAACTATAACAACCCAATCCAGGAAGGACTACAAATTGCCTAGACCCTTCAGGAGTGAAAATTTGAGTCAGTCTACCAGGTAAGGAACGACGACTAGCTGAGGTACTTGCTGAAGGCAAATAAAATTCAGAATGATTAGTAGAAAAAGATAGTTATAAATGTCAGTTACATCCATGTGGCAAGTTATAGAAATGAATACTGTAACTGTCATGAGCATTTCCTCCTTATTGTATTATATTTGTGTGTATATATACACATATAGGTCAAATATTTTTGTTTTCTTCCCCCTTATTCTCTTATCATGTAACATAAGATGTATTGACTTTATATCAGTGTTTAAGTATTGTTAACATTACATCATATTATTTAAGTTATGGGATATCAAGAGAAGAGTAAATATCACTCAAGGGTTTTACCTCCTCTTTTACGGAAGAGATTAGCGTATTTTTAGTTGTATGCAGGGCAATTATATCACGTTTGGTAGAATTATGACCTTGTTACTGTCTTTATTTGGAGATTAAGTATGGTTTAGAAAGATGTATATGGGTGTCAGTGTGACGAAGTGTGGACTTGTAATGCTTAATTTTATGTGTCAACTTGACTGGACTAAAGGATGCCCAGCTTGCTGGTAAAACATTATTTCTTTGGGTGTCTGTGAGGGTTTTCTGGAATAAACTAGCTTTTGAATTGATAGACTGAATAAAGAAGATTGCCCTAACCAATGCAAGTGGATATCATCCAATTCCTTGATGACCTGGATAATACAAAAAGACAGAAGAAGGGCAAACATGCTCTGTTCCTGAGCTGAGACATCCATCTTTTCCTGCCCTCGGACATCTGAGTTCCTGATTCTTGGGTGTTCAGACTCAGCCAGGGACTTATACTATCAACTCTTCTAGTTCTCGGGCTTTGGGGCTGGACTGGACCTACACCACAGGCTTTCCTGGGCTTCTAGCTTGCAGATGGCAGCTAAGATAGCAGGACTTAGCCTCCATAAACACATAAGCCAATCTCTTGTAATAAATCTCTTTTTATATATCTGTATTTGTATCTATATCTATATCTACCTATCTAGATATAGTTATGTTTATCTGGTGAAATATAAGTATGTGTATCTATCTATCTATATAGATAGATAGATAGATAGATAGATAGATCTGGTTCTGTTTCTCTGGAGAATCCTGATACACTTGATTTTTATTTTTGCACTCTACTAGTCCTTTGTCATGAACAAGTGGTTTGATTTTGGTGCCACAATCTGACTTCCTGTCTCTACCCAGGCCCTATATTGACCCTGTGGCTTTAAGATTTCTCATCATTCACCTTCTATAGTGCCCAAGGGTAGGCTTTACCCTAGATGAGTGAAACTCAACTCTCATATCCCCTCTGAGCCTCATGGCCTTAGATGTATCAGGAAAATTTTCAGCTTGACCCAACCCAACAGCAGACAGGAATTAGAAGTGATCTAGAGATATGATCAAAGTAAAAGTACATCGATAATAGTCAAAAAGGTAGTCAAAGAATATAAGGATCCCTACTGTTTGATGATTGGAAGCTAATAAAGGAAAATCAGTTAGGCAGTGAAAATAAAATATTCATCTAAACTAACAAAAAGGAAGACCAGGCAAATGATGTAAAGACAATTAAAAGTTTGGAAACCAACTTAATAAAATGGAATAATCAGCCATATATTATCTCAAGGTAAGATTGCCAGATTTAGTAGACAAAAATATAGGATGCCCAGTAAAATTTGAGTTTCAGAGAAACAATGCCCAAAGTCCCAAAACAAGCAAGTACCAAAACAAATTTGACTATAGTTGGTACAGACTTATACTAAAAAAGTATTCATTTTTTATCAGAAATTCAAACTTTACTGAGTGTCCTGTACTTTATCTGGCAATCCTATCTTCATGCTGCTTCAATTTTGAGAACCGCATATAGTGAAGATTTTATCTGTAATGAGTCAAAAATTATGAAGTTCTGGGTATTCCCAGCGTTTACTCCCCTTGCTGTGTAAAAATGATTCAAGATTTGCCATTGCGGTTATTCCCTCCTCCTCCCCTATGCAGAGGGTTCTGTTGGGTTGCTAGGTTGCCAAGTTCTGTGGACATTGTGATGCAGAATCAAAAGAGCTATAAATGGAGAGGTAGAGGGCAGAAAGAAAGGAGGAGGGCAGGTTTGGCCTAGTGAAGCACGTCTTTTGGAGGGATTTATCCTACTGAGAGTGGAGGTAAATGGTAAGTTAAAAATGAAAAGGAAAATATACGGGATCTTGATAGGTACGTTTTAGTCTATAGATCCACTTTATAGTGTTTAAAATTATTTTGAAATTAACTTTGGTTGCTTGATTTATGATCCTTTGATAGAGATGCGACTCTGAGACTTGTCCTTTGGGTCAGGCCTTCAATATGTTCACATGTGATTCTGTGCATATACCTCAAATGGAGAAAAGCACCCCATCTTATTTATCGCTAAAATTTTTTTGCATGATAAATGCATTTTAAAAGTAAAATTAACAAATTTGGAGGAAACAAGAGAAGTTAAGTTCCCTCCAATGAAGACATTGGGGCACATGAGGGGTTTCCTGACACTCATAAGTGCTTGGGGCTCAGAAGACACATGTTAAATGAGGACTTTTCATCCAAGATAATGTGAAAGTGTATCTTGGAGAGTTTGTCACAAGAGAAAGATGAGACATTCAATTCCCGTACAGAAATTTTGACTGAGCTGATAAATCCTTAATGCAATTTAGGGTAAAATTTTTAAATTTTTGGTAGAAGTAACAAACATACATATAAGTATGTATACAACTTCAACAGGCCTTGCATGTAAAAATCTGTCAGAAGGGAGAATATTTAAAAACACCAACTCTGGTATTTAGTTACACTTTTCGTTTTATATCACTCTTTATAAAGATATAACTGTAATATTGTACTTCCTCAAGGGCCCAATGATCAACTCAAAATGTGTCTTATTTTAAACATTATATTTTTAAAAGCTATCAGGCGCATTTACATTTATCTTTGTGAAATACAATTTTGGTTTCCTGTCTAATAAACAGGGAAATGTTGCTTTCAGTAAAATATATATCCAGTATCATATTATATATATAATTAAATATAGATTATATATAATGAATAAATGCCCTAATTGAGTAAATAAAATCAAATATAAAGAATAGAGAACAGGAAAAAAAAGATTAGAAGACAGTATTACTGTATTACATAAACATGTACATATTTGGCTGAGTAATTAGAAAATGATCAAGTAAGGAAGAAGACATATGATTCTTGGCTATTTCCAAACACAAATTCAGGCATTAAAAGATAAAGATGAAGATGTTGAATAGAATAACCCGTATGCTTCTTGAGCAATTTCAATGAGGACTTATTTTTTAAATGAACAATAATGACCCTAAGTACATAGATTTCTGGTGTAGCTTCTCTGGGGAGCACAAAAAGCCTTCAAATATCATTTATGCCCTGTAGACCGACCCATCTTAATATATTTTAATAGCAAAAATAAGTGTGATAGATAGAGGCATATGCATTGGATATTTCTTCTATGAAATGCCGGGGAAGAATGTGTAAGGGAACAATGAATCTCATAGCCTGGGATGTGGAAGTGGAAGCCTTTACCAAAGGGCAAAGCAGAATAAGTATTTTACTTAAAGGTAAAAGGCGCAGGAGCTGATGAGTCTCTATCTGTTTTATGAAAATATCTTGATTTGTTTTCAGGGTGCATCTGACAAGATCTAGATGACCAATAGGAACTAAAGTTCCCACCAAACTACTGGATCTCAGCCTTACTAAAAAGCAATCAGTCACACTATCCTCAAACTTAGTGAGTCCAATTTTGTTATTTTAGACATCTGATAAAATGTAGACTGTTCATTGTCTTCCCTTGATTATAACTCTGTAGCTGCTGAGATATCCTGGTAGAGCCTCTCTAATTGACAGTCTGGAACAGATCAAACTCACTTAAGCTCAGCAAGGACCCACTCCTTGAAATTTGGGGAGAGTATGAAGACATTGAAGAAGAGAATATGAAAAAGTAGACTAGAGGATAAAGAAATAAGTCTTCAGGAATACCTACATTTAAATGTTAGGAAGAGTAAAAAAAAAAATAAAAAGCAAGTAAAACAAAGACAAGTTAGATAAAGATAAAGGAAGCAGAAGAGTAACAAACAATCTCATGGTAGCAGAAGTCAAAGAATACAGTGCTTAAAAGTAGGGGGAGACGAAGAGTGTAAAATTCCACGACTACTAGAACAACACTAGAGTGGAACGTATAGAATGAAATCTCAATGTGATCACTGTGCTCAGTAAAAAATTTAAAGTCTGTTTGAGAGAAAAATAGTTACACTTGAATTAACATCAAATTTTGGAAAAAAATACTTAAAGATAAAATTTTAAGTTAAATATGAGTATGAAATAACAAAAAGACCAGCAGTATTAGAACAAAAAACTCATGCTGAGTGAATAGAGAAAAGAAAGTTGCACAGGGCAGTGGGGTCAGATTATGGACGGGCTCTGAAGACTGAAGTATGAGATAAAGGCCTATGCTACTTTATGTCTTTAAATTCACCTGACATATACATAAATTCTGTCTAGATTAGCTCATAAAAGCCAGACATAAAAAATGGAAGCCCTGTTTGTTAATTTTGCAACTTCCTTGAGATTTCTTTCAGTCCACTTGCATTTGCCTTTCCCCACCATCGCCTTCAGTAAGAAACTTCCCTATCCATCTTTCTACTTAGGAGAAATCTTCCAACTCAGATTGTCCCAGTTCCCCTTATAGAAAGGAATAGCAGCTATATGGTTCAGAGAATCAGTATCCACTGAAGGTGTTTGAGCAGGTATGTGACATGAGGAAAGGCGCAGGAAAGAGGAGAAGAGTGAGCCAAGACTTTGGAATGAGGAAATCAGCTGCTATCAGCAGTAAAGCAAGCATGATGTGATTATCAGCTTGATTAGTGCTGAGGCAATGAAAATGAAAAGGAAATGGTGAATTTGAAAGATATTTTAATAAATGACTCAGAATGTAGTCTTTTTTCTTTTTGAGGAAGATTAGCCCTGAGCTAACATCTGCTGCCAATCCTCCTCTTTTTGCTGAGGAAGACTGGCCCTGAGCTAACATCTGTGCCCATCTTCCTCTACTTTATATGTGGGATGCTTGCCACAGCATGGCTTGCCAAGTGGTATGTAGGTCCACACCCAGGATCCGAACCAGCGAACCCCAGGTCACAGAAGTAGAACATGTGAACTTAACTGCTGTGCCACTGAGCTGGCCCCAGAGTTTGGACTTTACTGTTCAACTTCCCTCTCTTACCTGCTCTGCCTTCCCCTCCCACATAACTCATAATTGCTGCTCTTTGCATAGATATTGCTTAGAAAGAACAGATGAAAGAATAAAACAAAGGAAAAATTCCAAGGAAAGAATAGCTTGTTCTTCATACGAATTCAACCTTTTCATTTTCACGTAGGTCTTAATTCTCTCTTAAACATATATACTTATAAAAGACTGCCTTCTACTTTATGGTCTCATTTTAAAATCCCAGGTCAGTAATTCAGATCTATCTTGTTAAATAAAAATTCTATTTAATCCACCATCCAAAAGGGAATAATTGGGCTTTCTATTGGGAACTATATGTACTGTAGTGTGAAGAGTACATTTCTATATTAGCCAGAAAAGAGTTTATATTACTGCAAGTTTGTACAAGTTGCAGAACCAAGTAATGAGAATATCTATTTAATAGGAGTCATATTTGCCCTCAGGTTTGATTTTTCTTATTTTATTTTGTGGGTATGGGACTCTGATATTAAAGGTTCAAAAAATATATATTTATTTAAAGGTGTGAGAAAGCTCTGGAATAACACATCCACATGCTTTTTGCCAGGACTAAGGAATGACTTCTTATGAAGTGGAGTATTCCTCAATTTAATAGATCTTCGTCTTTCTCATAAATAGAACCCAGAATGACTTCTCTTACTAAAGAAAGAAGTGATCCAGCTGACAATGCTCTCAGAAATCTAGAAAATGAGGCACCAAATGTCTGTAGTACCAATATTCAGCCTTTATTTGCTGATTCTAATATAATTTCTCAGATGGAAAGCAACCCAGTGAACAGGGAGCTAGACACACCAACCTCCCAGGAGCTTGATGTTCCTCAAGTAGCAGAAAACAATGAGCTTGAAATAGAGAAGACTCAAAAAGATCCTCAAAAAGAAGACTTAGGGAAGGAAGAGTGCCTTCTCCTTCAGATCCCCATTCCTAGAAAATGGATCTTTCTCATCTCAGGATTAGAAAGAATTATCTATCTGAATATCCCACTAGTAAAAATTGATAAAAACAATCCCTTAACTAATAGAGCAAGATTCTACTCAGGAAAAGTGGAGATGAAAACAAGTAATTTCTGTCATAGCATCATAAATTACAAAATTCCTCTCCAACTCTCAATTTCATGGAGAAATCCATTCATCAACAATCACGAGATGAGAAGAATGATTCACCGTCTGCTGTGTGGGAGGCATTTCTCTCAGCCTGCAAGTCTTCAAAATACCGTATGGGTAAAGCAAAAATATACAGCGTTTCTTCCTCGTCAGAATGTCCTCACCCACGTGGAGAAGGCCATAATATTGAGAAGACCTTTGAAGATGTACTACTACCATACCGTCATTGAGAGACTTACAGCAGGGAAATTTTACAAGTCAACTGATACTAAAAGGGAAGGATGAATTCCACATTTTTGCAAGGCCTGTGTTCTGTGTCCCATCAACCCAAATCCAAGGCACATTTAATGGAAAAGATTTTGAGGATCATTTGAGATCTCACTATAATAGGAAGTTTGTGGTCATAAGCAACAATAAGTGTTGGAAATACCTATGTCCTATCTGTGGGCGTAGTTTCAACAATTTGGATGAATTTAGACAGCATTTTTGTAGCTTTCCTTGGAATTAAGTTCAATTGAGGTGAATATATTTTAAAATTTAACTTCTAAAAATTCATATTTTGACTACCAAATTGAGACGAAATTGTATGGACATAAATTTTAAATTTTTAGATAGAGTTGCAGAAAGCAGCACAAAATAATAGGATATCTTGGGAAGAAACACCTTTGAGAAAAGAGGACAATTCATAAGAAAACGTCTTTTTATACTGTACTAGTACAAACGGATCATCAAAATATCAGGTCCTTGATCTGTATTGGGTCAGCGACTGAACTAAGAAAATGTTTGCACTTTCTCAACATCCATTCTTCAGATAAGAATATTGTTAATATTATCAGATTCCAAGTTCACAGGATCCTGACAGTGATAGCAAACATATATGAGAGGGCTAGATAAAGTTCCACCAGATGTTTCTAAAGACTCTGCTAAATTTAATATCTGAAAAGTTCTCCATAAATTCAATAAAAATCATTTTAAAGGCATTGAAAGTTGCATTGTATCATATAATAAGGTAATATAGCTGGAATTTACTGGGAGGCTTGTTGCATATTATACCTTATTGAATAAGTATGTATAAAATAACATATAGAATTTATTTAATCCATAGATATACTGCACTACATAAATCCTTCAACTCTCATGATGCAGAGGATAATCATGCTATATCTGAGACAGGTAAAAATTCCTGTGCCTGGAATTTACTGGGAGGCTTGTTGCATATTATACCTTATTGAATAAGTATGTATAAAATAACATATAGAATTTATTTAATCCATAGATATACTGCACTACATAAATCCTTCAACTCTCATGATGCAGAGGATAATCATGCTATATCTGAGACAGGTAAAAATTCCTGTGCCTAGAAAAACAGTGCAAGTATTATAAATATGCTACATTCAGATAATAATTTTGATGATTCCAAATAAAAACTCATAAAAAGAAAATATTGTGGTAGAAATGGAATAGTTTGAGATAGAAAGGAACAAATAATAAACTGGTAGCATACAACCGTAATCATTTTTCACTTGGATAGATGAAGCTATCCAAGACGAAGTGAAGCTTCATCACTATTGCCTACCATCACCACCCAAATTTTCCATTCCCCCATGTATATATGCACATTGCCCACTCATATTTAAGGAATTTCCTGTCTTGCTACTTGCAGCTAAAACTTTGTACCTCTTCTTTCCTTTGATCTGTGTAGTCGTAAAACTTAAAGGTAGACTCCATAGCTACACTTCTAAGTCAACTCATATTTATTGGTCACCCATTATGTGTGAAGCACTATGGTAAGATCATTAGATGTGTTAATTAATCTTCACAATAATCTTACATGTATGCATTTTTATGGTAAAATTAAATGTATAGAAACAGTTTCCAGGTAAGTGAATGACTTTCGCAGGTCACACGTTTAGCAAGTGCATATTGTTGTTATCATATAATAAGGTAATATAGCTGGAATTTACTGGGAGGCTTGTTGCATATTATACCTTATTGAATAAGTATGTATAAAATAACATATAGAATTTATTTAATCCATAGATATACTGCACTACATAAATCCTTCAACTCTCATGATGCAGAGGATAATCATGCTATATCTGAGACAGGTAAAAATTCCTGTGCCTGGAATTTACTGGGAGGCTTGTTGCATATTATACCTTATTGAATAAGTATGTATAAAATAACATATAGAATTTATTTAATCCATAGATATACTGCACTACATAAATCCTTCAACTCTCATGATGCAGAGGATAATCATGCTATATCTGAGACAGGTAAAAATTCCTGTGCCTAGAAAAACAGTGCAAGTATTATAAATATGCTACATTCAGATAATAATTTTGATGATTCCAAATAAAAACTCATAAAAAGAAAATATTGTGGTAGAAATGGAATAGTTTGAGATAGAAAGGAACAAATAATAAACTGGTAGCATACAACCGTAATCATTTTTCACTTGGATAGATGAAGCTATCCAAGACGAAGTGAAGCTTCATCACTATTGCCTACCATCACCACCCAAATTTTCCATTCCCCCATGTATATATGCACATTGCCCACTCATATTTAAGGAATTTCCTGTCTTGCTACTTGCAGCTAAAACTTTGTACCTCTTCTTTCCTTTGATCTGTGTAGTCGTAAAACTTAAAGGTAGACTCCATAGCTACACTTCTAAGTCAACTCATATTTATTGGTCACCCATTATGTGTGAAGCACTATGGTAAGATCATTAGATGTGTTAATTAATCTTCACATATCTTACATGTATGCATTTTTATGGTAAAATAAATGTATAGAAACAGTTTCCAGGTAAGTGAATGACTTT